AGTGACAAATTTTTTTTGTGTGTGTGTGTGTGTGTGTGTATTTATTCTTATGCACAAATACCCTTGGGAAATTTATGAATCCACCTCTTCTCATCCCCCAGGTATGGGTTGATTAGTAGGACATGTCAGTAAATTATTAAAAAAATTAATACAAACTTAAAAAAAAAAAAAAAAAATTTTTTCTAAATAACCTGGAATATTGCTGTTATATATGGTCTGGTACTCCCACTGTTAAGTCTTGAGGTCCTTGACAAAATCCAGAGATGGATATGCGATGTGCTGATCTGGCATCTAGTCTACAGTCGCTTTCTCACAGACATGCCATGACTTCACTGTCTATTCTATAAATATTTTCACGGCAACTGTTCTGACGAGCTACTTTCTCTGGTTCCCAGGCTGCATAAATTTAAGTGAGCTACTCGGTTGGCATCTCAGTCCCACCCTTTCACTGTCAAAACGGTTTAATGTAGCCGTCTCTTCTACTCAAACAGCTTCTTTTTTTTTGCACTTCCTATCTGTGGAATTCTTTTCCTTGCTTCCTTGATAACTATAATCTTTAAATATTGAAGTGTAATGTCAATCGACATCTTCTGATACTTTGATCTTGTTCCCAGTCTTTCTCTTTATCCTCTCCCCCAAACATACCTCTTTACTCTTGTTTCCTACACTCTGTAACCCCTTGCATTCTAGTGGCACTCCCACCTTGCTTGGGGTGAAAGACTTGAATAAAAAAAAAAATAAAAAATAAAAAAAAAAAAAAATAAAAAAAAAATATATAGTTGAAACTTTACAGCTAAGTCCTCAGCGATATTTTTAAAGACATTTTTTGGGGGGAAAAAGCAAGGGTATATATATGCTATTAGATACAGTAATGCCAATTCTAGGCATTTAAAGAAAATTCTGTTTAAAAAAAAAAACTATAACATAATATACTCGATACTACATTTTAAGGTGTTAATTAATCTATCATCCTTTTGTGTTTATATTTCTATCATAAACTATGAAAATAAAGAAAACATATTGTCTTTCATTAAGAAAAAAAAAAAAAAAAAAGTAACTATATTGACAATATTCAAAGAGATACACAAAACCAATATCTAACAATATAAAAAAAAATTATGAGAAGCAAACATAAGAGGGGTACTGAAAACTTTTCAGCACCAAATCCACTTCCCTCAATCAGAATACTGATGTTAGTTCACTGAATTATTGATTTTGAAAAATGAGCTGGACACAAGAACTTTTCAACTGTCATAAAAATGATTGAAAGCTTTTGTGTATCTTTGCAACAGAATAAAATTTCTGAAATTACAAACTCTCACCTTTTTTGGAGAGGATCCTCCTGATTTTGCCAAATTTCTCATAAGCTGGACACAATAAATAGTATATTTCCTCCATGGTTGAAAAAATAGAATCATGAATATCAAATCTCCTTTCATATGAAAAAATGTACCAAAATTTTCAAAATTCTCCTAAAGCTTGTGTTCATCTCAGCAAGGAATGAAAATGTCATTTTGGTTAATCAACAAACCAAAAATAGAATTATTTTTAAAAAAAAGATTGTCACACTTGGATTTGAAGACAAAGATCAAATGGTTTAAATTAACAGAACTTTGACACTTAGGTAGAGAATAGGTCTTGATTATTCATTCAAAAAACAAGAGAAAAATGTTTTTGTGTGTTCACAGCACTGAAATATTATAGCCATGTTATTTTTTTTGTGTGTGTGTGTGGGGGGGTATGTGCTTTTAAACTAGTTTATCCATAAATAATGACATATTTCAATCATTTTGTCAATGTACCTTACTTATATACCATCCCTGGATGACCCAATCAACCAATTTGTTTATTAGAAGTTATTCCCCTTAAGTAAAATTTTACAGTTCAAAACTTGTATAAAAGTATTTTGCCAAATATATTTCAAAGGAACAAAAAACAAACAGATACTTTTTTTTTTAATTCTGAAAATACATTTAAAAAAAAATTAAATATCTTCAAAACCATCAAAGTCTTCATCAACGAATCCTATGGGATAATATAAAAAAAAAATTCTTTCATGGATTACCAAAATGTTTTAGTCGAATTAATTTTACTTTTAAAGTTAGTTTGCCATGTATATTTCTGAGTGTGGGGGTGATTGGTCTGATTTGTTTTACAGCATATCAATTTCAATGGGTTAGTTAATGCTGACAAAATTTTTATTGTTGGTAAAAATTTTTCTTCAAAAAACCTATTTCTGGAAATATTTTTTTCTTCAAATATGTATCGCTGGTAATATTTTTTTTCAAAAATCTATTGCTGCAAAATTATTATTATTATTTTTTTTATTTTATTTTTTCCAAATATGTATTGCTGGCAATAATTTTTTTTCTTCAAAAATTTATTGCTGGTAATAATTTTTTTACAAAGTATTTCTGGTATTAAAACCTATTTTTACACTTTCATTGAGTTTTGATCTCCGTTTTTTTTGGGGTGGGGGTTAACTATTTGCCTATAACTGGGACCCTAACAGGTGCTACCACCCCAGGTCATTGTGAACCTGGGAACACCAGTAATTAAGAGGCGGTTCCATGCTCCTCAAAACCTCCTGATCAGAGGCAGTTTATAGTCTTATCCAGGACATGGATGTAGTTTATTGTCATACTCAAGAATGAGTGTGGGGGCAGTACATCTCCTTTATCACCAAATGGGCTTATGGTGTAGAGTAAAAAGAAATTAGAATATATATAATGTATATGATAGACTATTATTTGTGAATTTCAACATCTATGGAGGACTAAACTCCTACAAGTCCCACTACATTTGATTGTCTTATGGCTATATCATGTTGAAACGATGGTTCTCAAACAATCACTAAAGTTAAGCAATGTTGAACCTGGTCTGTACCTAGATGGGTGGCCACTTAGGAATACTAGGTGCTGTAAGCTTAGATATATAAGCAGTGTTATAGATAACAGCTCAATTGGAAATCTGAAAGCCAAGTTTCAATTCCAGTCAGGTTTGTCATATTGACTCACGCATCAATACCCTGAGGATATGCATGAATCCACCTCTTCTCCCCCAACTGTGGGTTAATTAGTAGTACTTCTATCAGTAAATGTTTATCAGCCAAAAATTTTTTAAATTTAAAAATATTTTCTGGCTGCAAAAAGTTAATACGTCGTAAAAAAAAAAAATAAAATTAATCATTCAACTACACTTGATTAATTACATAAGCAATATGTAAGCTTTGAAGACAGTGTTCAAATGATGGCAGTGAGAATTTTTGCATTAAGCTTAAAACACTTATGTTGATATATACAAAAATTAATCAACTTAAATAAACTCAAAAAATATTTAAATCTTCTTCAAATGCTGTGGGGAAAATCTCAGAAAAAAAAAAAAAAAAAAATTAAAAATGTTTTTCACTCCCAAGATATATCTTATTCATTTTTTTACAGTTATATATTTGGGTAGGAAGTGTCAAGCATTATGTCATCAAATGGGCTTCTGGTGTATTTTTACCATAGTAAAAATGACGGGCAGTATTTAGTATACATAATGAACTATGATCAGTGTGTGTGTGTGTGTGTAGTTTTGAATATATGTAGCTGAAATATATATATTTTAAAAAATTTAAAATAGCTTTAAAACAACCAATGTCCTGTTCTGTATAAAACCATATCACATAAACTAAGAGAGTAGTCTTTAATCCCTTCCACTATCAACTTTTTGAGATTTCTCCCTTACCTGAATGCATTCCTAACTTTCTATTTACAGGTGTTGTTTACAGCATTCACTACTGTACTTTATTGAGTATAATACGATCTTGTGTTTCTGAAGCTAAAAACAGGGAAGAAATTATCTCCTTGTATATAATACGACCCTGTAGTACAGCTATTCCCTAAGTAAATTCTTGCTGAAAAGTTGTCACACGCCTTTGAATAACACTCACACTAACAGCACTTGCTTGAACAATACTCGCTTGAATAGTACTCCAAATAGTGATCAGTATAGAGAAACAGTATAGTGAATACAGTAGAGTATAGCAGACTGTATAGTAATAGAGGATAGAGTAGAAATATAGATCCAAATAGTAATAGAGGTTAGACTAGAAATGACAATCATTTAGATGTTATGTGACTTCCTATTTATGTGTTACCTCTATGGTCATATGGTCTACTTAACTCAATAATGGGATCACTTGTTTGCTCAGTGGCGATCTATGTTCAAACTCAAGTGTCAGTAGTGACACTTTATTCCTATATAAAAATTTATGAATAAAAAAAATGTTCATAATTATTTCTGTATAAATTGGTAAATGATAAATATTGCAATGCATTAGTTTTAATTTTATTAGTTATTTTAGAATGTTGTAAATATAAAATCATTCTTGTAAATAAACAACCTCGAAGTGTTTAATATTTTTGTTGTAGCCTAGGGAAGGTTACTGAATAGAATAATCAAATGAAGATTTGTAATGAACAATAATACTTAGGACATGAACAATACATATAAGAATCGCCAGCAGTGTGTAAAAGATTCCAAAATGAATCTCCAACTGCAGACCAACATACAGTATTCACTACTGTATTTATGTGAATGGAGATATACAACATTATCGTCCGTAGGTATGCTACAACAATTTTCAAGAACAAAAATAATATATGTTTAGATTTTATTACAATTCTCGTCATCACTTTTTAAAATAACAAACATTGCTGAGGAGTGAAGGTAGTTAAAATAATAGTGGTATCAATGGAAAAACCATCCTTTTGACACAGTTTTTTTTTGCAGGTAAGTTTACTGATATTTCCTTATCTCAAAAATTCTAACCTAAATGGAGAAAAGGTGCAAATTCCACAAAGTGCAAAGTTATGTAATTTGTCAAATAACAGGTTAAATAGCAACATTTATTAATTAAAATCTTTCAGCAGTGAAGGTGTTAAAACCAGATTTAAAAAAAAAAAAAAAAAAAAAAAAAAAATCAATGTCCTTTCACTTCACAGAACTTTTCTTACCTGTAATCAGTTCAATGCTTTCACTGTCCAGTGTAGGTCCAGTAAAGATGATACTGTCACTGAACTGTTGTGACAGTACCAGGCCTTCATCAGTGACACTTGATGTGATACTGGTTTCATAAAAGTCATCCCCACTACTGCTACACTCCTCCACAGAGGAAACACCAGCTGAAAAAATAAAGTTTAAGAATATCAACTGATTTGACAATTATGTAAGATTTCTGTTTCAATTTTCAGTCTTGACAATTTGACAAGTGCCAGTCACATCCATAACAGTGAGGGGTGAAAAATAAAACCAATGAACAAAAAATAATGCCAAGTTCCGAAGCGTATTGCACCAAAAAGTGAAGAATACAAAGAAGGTGAAAAATAGAGACAGAAATGGAGAAAAGAAGAAGCCCTTCACCAACCAAAAGGTTCACATGATTGAGTGCATTGTTTAAAAAGTTGGAATTTTATAGTGGAATTTTTTAAACTCTTAATTGTGAATGCAATTTTATGGCATCTTGGGTTTTCTGGATAGAAGCCAGTTTGTTGCTTTGCAAAGCACAACATATAGAACAGATCGACCTTTCAAAATTTGCAGGCACAACTTCAAAATCTATCTGAATAAAATAATGTAATTTATAATCTTAATTAGGTAGATGTTAAACATATTCCAATTTGTTGCAATAATTATGAACATTTTAATAGAATTCTAAAAAGTATAGCAATTATTTTAACAATTTCTCCAAAGTTTTAATCTTGGCTTTAATTGCAGGTAAATAGCATAAATTTATCTGTGAAAATATTCTTAAAACTATTTTTCTGTAGTTAAATCAAACTTAAAGTTCAAATACACCAACATTGCTGTCTGTTAACAGAAAAATTTAACTGTCATTAAAAATCTTTAAAAAAAATAAAATTATCTGGATGGATGGATGGATGGATGTTGGATTTAACGGCATGTCAACTCCTATTTGGGTCAATTTATGCCGAAGCCTTATTAATTTATGAATTTAAGTTGGTTATTTTGTATAAAAAAAGATGAAAGGTTGTTGGGTTTCATAATTTTCTGTATTTTTTGGGATTGCTTTTTGTGACCGTTTCTGATTGTGTATTTTACTGTTTACATTCATAGATGCATATATATGTATATATATATATATATATATATATATATATATATATATATATATATATATATATATATATATTATATTTATATTTTATTGAGGATTTTATTTCCTTGAGAAAACTGTATATTTTTTCTGTGTCTGTATTTTTTGAATATTTCTTTTAAATCTTTTTCCATTGAGATATTTCTGTCTTATTCTAGTTATGATTTTGCATTCCGATAGAATATGTCTTATTGTGATTAGGCTTCCACATTTACATTTTGGTGGATTTGTCTTTTTTTAATATGTGAGAATGAGTTAAATATGTGTGTTCTATATGTGTTCTGGTTATGACAACTTGTTTTTTCCGAGTATTTCCAAGATCATTTCCCCATTTTCCTATTTTAGGTTTAATTTGAAATAATTTATTTCCGGTTTGGTTTTTCCATAGATTTTGCCACATGAGGACATGAGACAGAACCTGGGACGAGCACAACTAGTCGCGACTTGCCTTGTCCCCGCCAAAAAAGGGCCCGTATTTGCTTAGCATGTAAAGCTACTGCAGTTGAAATGAGGGAGAAAAAAAACTTACCGCTCTGCCGTAATCCATCCTCGGCCAGATAACATAAAAGAATGAGGGGGACTGGCATCGCATTTTATCCAATAAGGACTAATGCATTATGGGACATGGACGCAATGAATTATGGGATCACAGGAAGATGCAAGGATTATGGGTACATGAACAACTATAAAAACAACTACTTTTTTCCAAGTCGGCGAAGTTCTTCGAGGGACGTTCACGGTTGACGGCTAGAACGGGCAGTTAGTGTGATTTGGAGACAGAACTCAAGAAGGAACGACTCAAGTTTGAAATACCAGCTGAGTGAGCTTGAATTTACTCGCTGGTTACTGTTTTTTTTCATTCGCCTCAAGCTATTTCGGCATATTGATTCTTCAAAATGGAAGGCAAGGTCTTTGACGTCCGTTTGATTCCAGAATTCAGCGGCGCTCAACGGATATGCCCATTGTTAAATGGATAGAAAATGTGGAATTGGTCTGCGAACTTTGTGCCATGGACAAGATTGAGCGCATCTTGCCTTTTACGACTTCGAGGCGGTGCCCTTGCTGTATATAGACAACTCAGTGGAGAGCAGAGGGCAGACGCGAACAAATTAAACGGCCCTTATGACTGCATACGCGACTGACAGATTTAATGCGTTCGACCAATTTATGGGACGGCGTCTTCGCCCTGGGGGAAACTGTGGATGAATTCTGGCTGAAATGCATCGTTTGCGCGGCTAGTAGGAGAACCGCTACCTGATCGGTGGATGGCATGTGCATTTGTGTCAGGACTGCCACATCATGTTAGGCAGCTTCTCAAAGCTTCTTCCAGGATGGACGACATGAATCTAGAACAGATTCTGACCAGCAAGGGCTATTATGACGGATGACGAAGGGTGCCAGGTATTGGCCGCCGCATCCAGAGAGCTAACGCGCTCAGAAGCTGAGGTTCCCCTGCCAAACCTGTTAGCAGAACGATTACCTGCTACAAGTGCTCTGGACCCAACCATATGGCGAAGGATTGTACACAAGGACGTCAGGAGAGGTCAAACAGAAGCAGAGGTCTGGTCGCGACAAGCGGTGTTTTCGGATGCAACGGCATTGGACACATTTCCTCAGAATGCCAGGAAAGCGCCAAGGGAGAAGGCGTCAGCGCCAGCCTTCTCCCGAGCAAGTAAACCCGGAAGTTACCCACCGTACAAGTATTTGTAGATGGAGTAGAGTGCACAGCTCTAGTGGATTCAGGATGCTCACAGACGCTGGTGAGCAAGACTGTGTGTCGCTGCTGGAGGCAGGAAGAGGTGGGAGTGTTGACTGCCGACGGAAGACCCTGAAGTGCCGTGGATACGGTAAAAATTAAGTTGGCGTCGAGCATATTCAGCTCGTGACTGTTGAGGTTCTGGTCGTGGAAGGCAGTTAAAGATTCGATCTTCTTCTTGGGGATTGATGCAATCAAAGTGCTCGGAGGTGTTTACTTGACCCGAATCAGGCGGCTCATTTTCGAAACCTGATCACATGTGCCGCCATTGTTATCAACAAGCCTGACTTTAGAGTGACGTTTAACCCGAGCACAAAAACGTGGACTGCATTGTGGAAGTGGGCGAGTGGTTATTCACCTAGCAAGTTGGTCAATAAAGTACAGGAGTACACAGTACCTGGCCCACGTCCGGGATGCATACGATGAAGAACTAGCACGGTAGCGTAGACGGATGGCTACTGCCATATCCTGAGAAAGAGCTTGGCCCCCCAAGGGATTAATTCCCTTAATGGCGGGTGAAGACAAGAACACAAACAGAAGGTCCGACCGGTACTTGACTATCGGGAGTTGAACGGCTTTGTAGACGCATTCACGGCTGACGCAGAGGTGTGTGCGCAGAAATTACGAGAATGGCGACGACAAGGAGCTGACGTACGCTGTTGGATTTGAGAAATGCGACCTACAGATTCACATTGACAAATCGCTATGGCCGTTTCAAACAGTGGTCATTAAGGGCAAGCGGTTTTATTTTTACGCGCGTTTGGGTTTTGGCCTGAATGTGGCACCACTTGTCATGAAGTCAGTGATCGACATGATAACGCCCCAGGATCAGGACATTAAGAGTGCCACGCCGGCATACGTCGACGATATCTTCATAAATGAAGGCCTAGTTTCTGCAGTAGCAGAAGACAGCACTTTGCAGATTACGGGCTAGTCTGTAAAGATCCGGAGCGATTGAGAGACGGAACTAAGGTCCTGGGTCTGCAAGTCTGGGAAGAAAGCAACTCCCCTTCGATGGAAGCGGGAGGTCAGGTTCCAGAAATTGCTCAAAAGTTGACCCTTGCCGTATTTTTTTGTGCGGGAAACTTGTGGGTCATTTCCTGTGTGCGGTTGGCTTAGGGTGGCAACTGCATTTATTAAGCGTTATGCAAGTACACCAACCAAAGGATGGGACGACGAGATAAAGGATGCCCCTCTTGGACGTATGCTGGAGGAAACAGTGGCCAGAATGCGGAATCAGATCCTGTCGGGCGGAGACTGGTGTGTGAACGGCAATGAAATGACAGTTTGGGTGGATGCAAGCTCCGTGGGTTACACGGGAGTAGCACTAGAGGTGAATGGGAGCGTCGTGGAAGATGCTTGCTGGTTGCGCCCAACCAATGACGCCAAACACATTAATCTTGCTGAGCTTGATGCGGTAATCAAGGGCGTGAATCTTGCCCTGCAGTGGCAGGCACCAGTTATGCATGTGGTCACCGATTCAGCATGTGTGCATCGGTGGGTGTCTGACACCCTGACAGGAAGGACGCGCGTGAACACGAAGGCAGCGGGTGAAATGCTGATGAGGCGGCGCTTAGAGACACTCGCGAGCTTTGGTGGAGGAGTACGCACTGACTATGACTGTGACGTTGGTGAAGTCTTGTCAGAACTGCGCTGACAGCCTCACCAGAGTGCCGCAACGCTGGTTGGAGATGCACAAGAAAGGAGGAGAACCGGTGCAAGTGAGTTGTGTCACTGCAACGAGCCAGTTGAACAAACGTCAGGTGACCCACATCCACCAGCAGAGTGGGCACCCAGGTGTTAAAAGAACAATGTACTTTTTGCTAGGACTGTAGATCCAACGGTGTCTAAAGAACTGGTGAAATCTGTCGTTAGAACCTGTGAAGCCTGCCAATCGATCGATCCAGCACCAGTGCATTGGAAGAAAGGAAATTTGAGTGTGAGAAAAAACTGGAGCAGGTTAGCAATGGACGTAAACCCATTGCAATGGTAGCCATTTTCTTACGCCATTGACTGTGGTCCCTCCCGTTTTGCAGTATGGCGGCCACTGAGACGGCAAGACTCTGCTGGTGTCATTCGTCAGCTAGAGACAGTCTTCATTTAACGAGGCCCGCCGACCGAAATACTGACTGACAATGACACCAACGCTCACTTGCAGACAATTTAGGGAATTTGTGAACAGCTGGGGTGTGCATTTGAGGTTCCGCGCGCTTACGTGCCGTCTGGAAATGGCATTGTGGAACGCAACCACAGAAGCGTCAAAACCATAGCGCCAAAAAAAATTGTTCAGTCTTGGAAGCGGTTTACTGGCATAACGTCACACCTAAGGACAACCTTTCACCTTCCACGGCACCGGCTGATGTACTGCACACATACCACGTCCGGGTGAGAGGCATCGACATTGACGCCCCGCCTGAATCACAAATAACCAAGGGGAATACAAGGAAGGGGACATTGTCTGGGTTAAGACTCCACGTGGTAAAT